CAGTGGTATAAGACTTGCGGATAAGAAATTGGTTCCAAAAGCGTAACTTACAGAGGGAAGGACCGACGAAGAGACATACGTACATCCCGCTCACTACATAGAGAATAATACATACCCTTTTCCATATCACGTCCTGTATCAGCCCGAGACACCAATATCAGCCAGAGGGCCGAAGGCCCGGGGGCTGATATTGGTCGAGGGCTGATACAAGATGTGATGTGGAAAAGAGTATGTTTTATTATGTTTTTTACATACTTAGTAATAAAATGTGACGCGCCAAGCAAAAACCTCCCTTAACGAAGAATTTTGACATTTTCAGTTTTTTTTTATGGATTCTCGTAGAGTTTTTCTTTCTCTTTTCATTTGATGTATAACATAACATATATTTCTGTGTATAAATGTATAAAATATCGCATGACAAAGATGGAATATTTACTTTGACGTACAGTGTAAGCGTGCGTATCTGCATGAATTTCCATAACGTAAAATCGTAAAAATAGCGTAAAGCTATATAATAATTTGATGAAAAACATTTGATTTGATTCTCTTAAAAATATCAACAATTGAGATTTTTTTCATCGTAATAATAGAAAATAAACATTCTAAACTATACCTTTGAAAAACGAAAGGTGGGAGGGGGTTGGCACCAAAATGATTGACGGGAAAAAACACAACTCAAATGAAGATCGAAAATTTTCTCTTCCTCTCTAGGAGATCTTTCAATTTATGGCTTTTTTAATGCAATAATGGCAGAAATCTACTTCAGTGCAACAGTAAGAGGAATTAAGCAACATAAAGATGAAAAAAAAAGTCCTATTGAGGTAGTACAAACAATACACGTACGGCTTCATGCTTCCTGGGGCTAGTGGATTAACCCTTTTAAGTTCAATCCCAAGAGACATAGAATCTCGTACGTACGACTTATTATGTATTTAATACAGTACACATTAGGTTGAGAAGAAAATAAGTAAATAATCATGCACAGACTTCTCACATGTATACGGTCTATTGTCTCTTAGAGTTTGGGTTTTGTTCTGCATGTACTTCTATTTCAAATGTACGGAAGCGTATTGCTTCCACTTGAAAAATATATTGTAAGTCGTACGTACGAGATACTAAGTCGTACGTACGAGATAATAAGTCGTACGTACGAGATACTAAGTCGTATGTACGAGATACTAAGTCGTACCTACGACATAATAAGTCGTACGAACGAAATACTAAGTCGAACAAACGAGATACTAAGTCATACGAACGAAATACTAAGTCGTACGAACGAGATACTGAAACGTTCGTACGAGATACTAAGTAGTATATAAGTCGTACGAACGAGATACTAAGTCATACGTATACTATTTCGTACAAACGAGATACTAAGTCGTACGAACGAGATACTATGTCGTACGAACGAGATACTAAGTAGTACAAACCAGATACTAAGTCGTACGAACGAGATACAGTGAAACCTGTCTAATCCGACGTGCACTGGGAGACAAATTTTGTATCGGAATAAACAAGGGTGTCGGATTGTACATTGTTAAAAACATGCAAAATAGTACAGCAAAACTCGTTTAGTACGAACACGGATATAGCGAATTCACGGATATAGCGAAGTTATCTTAGATACCCAGCTATATAAATCCTTAAACGGATATAACGAATCACGGATATAGCGAAGTAATTTTATTGGTCCCCGTGACTTCGTTATAACCGAGTTTTACTGTAAAATGGTAAATGAATAAAACGTCGGAATTCACAGTGTGTCGGATTATTCAGATGTCGGATTAGACAGTTTTCTCTGTACTAAGTTGTACGAACGAGTTACTAAGTCGTACGTGCGACACAATAAGTCGTACTAACGAGATACTAAGTCGTACGAACTAGATACTATGTCGTTCGTACGAGATACTAAGTCGTACGTACGACATCATAAGTCGTACGAACGAGATAATAAGTCGTACGAACGAGATCCTAGTCTATAATTTATGAATTGTAACAAACTAACACTTTTACAGATAAATATAAAATAAACTATATAAAATCCTAAGTTCCACTCGGGCAGAGGTGCTAAACTCGCTTGATTTGAATTTTCTGCAATCCAACGGACAATTCAAATCAATTTATCACCTGTAGAAATGAATATAAAGGGATAGAAGGTGGATAAAATATACAGATCTGTTAAAGAATGTGCGTAGAATTAGGGATAGGCCAATGCTGGAAAGTGTAAAAATTCTTTTCAAATGAAAAGTGCGTTCAAATCTTGCACCGTAGATTGCAAATTATTTGCATTTTACATAGGATCAGAGACTAATATACAAAACCATAAAGCTACAGTTTTTCAGCTATGTTCTGAGTATCTCGTTCGTACGACATATTATCTCGTTCATACGACTTAGTATTTTGTTCATACGACTTATCATGTCGTACGTATGACTTATTATCTCGTATGTATGACGTAGTATGTCGTACGTACGACTTATTATGTCGTACATACGACTTAGTATCTCGTACGCACGACTTACAATAATTTTTTTTCAAGTGGCAGCAATACGCTTCCGTACAAATGTAGCGATCCGTAATTTGAAAATAATATTTTATTTGTCAGTTAGATTATCCTTACATTGAAAAAGTTAAAATTAAGAGAATATGTAACCCCCAAAATAAGTGTATGATCACAAGTACTGTTTTTTGTGGTTTAATTTTCTAGGGGTGTGATATTGATCCGTATCAGCCCCGCAAATCCATCCCTGCAGGGCTGATACGGCTATTGTGACGTCAGGTATATCGCATATGCAAAAATCCTGCATTTATTAATAAGTATGTAATAAATGTATGTACACACTCCCACTTTTCAAGCGGGAAGTATAAATATGGGCTATCTAGGAAATTAAACATCGATAGGCCTACTTGAAAAGAAGAGGGGTATATAGTGAGGGGTTCCGTTCGTCCGTCTATTACGCTTTGGTGCACAAAGAATTCCTTTAGAGAGAAACAAAAGTATATGCTTAATGTGTAACCATACTTTATAGAAGATAAATATTATTTATTACTGAATGCTAATTATAAACTGAGGAGAGAAATACATTTTTTCATGATATCTCATTACTTAACAAAAGTTTCAGATTATTATCAAAAGGAGACAAATTTATCTGTTTAATGTCTAATAAAAATATACTAATCATTATAAAGCTAAGTGAATATTTTGTCAAAGCTTTCAAAATAAGGCATTATGCCATGAGTTTACACAAATAAATAATACTTGTAAAGCTGTACTGTATTTATTTTACTTAATTAATTTAAATGTAACGTTAACATAAAATGTTCTAGACACATATTTATTTGTATACTGGTATATATTGATAATATATATTTTTGTATCATCTGTTAAAGGTCTCACACAAGGAAATAATTTCACTATATATTACTATATAGCTTGAATTAAATTATTTAATTTATTAGACTCTCAGCAGAAAATTCATGAAAGAGAAAATAAAGTTTAATGCTTAAACAAAAATTTGAGATCAGAAAAAAATATGTCTTATGCGGCTTTTAAGAAAGAAAATCGACAGTAAACATACGTACCCCGAAATGCACGTGGGATTCACATGTTGACAAACAGCCTACACACCATCCAGGAAGTTGCATATGTGCGCACCTGAAAAAAGAGTTCCTTTTAATTCAGTGGGATAATTCTGCTAAAGAAATGATATTCCTAGTACATGAGTCCAATTTTAATACTCTAGGCCTAAAACAAATTGCCAAAAATGAAAAAAGAAAAAATACTGTAAATGTATTATATTTGGCGTGTACGATATTTGGCGGAAATTGAGTTTTCAACAAGTTGGCGTAGATTTGATTTAGCGCTTTTTGAATGTGCTTTACATAAACCTTTATACACAAAGCATTTAGCGATGTACTTGATTTAGCGGAGGCTGCTTTCCGCGAAAGGCGCTAAAAAGAATACACAGCCAAATGTAATACGTTTACAGTATTGTCTCAATATATATATGGAACTTCTATTTCCTAAGTTCATTTTGATTGGCTATTTCCTTGCGTAAGACCTTTAAGGCAACTAAAAGTTAATGAAATTAAATGAAATTTCCACAAAATGTCTCTGAGATATTTATCTTTCATATACTAGTGCATCAAAAATTATCTTTGTCCTTAAGGGATGAAAAATAGGAGATAACTCTTCCTAACAGATTATTGAATTTTAGGCTAAATTTCTGTACAAATTCATCTTTAGCATATTAATTTCAAAACTTGGAAAATATTTAAAGAGTGAATTATTGAGAAAAAAAATTTGAATGAAATGAAAGCTGAAATATTCTAGTTTTTGGCTATTTGCTAAAAAATAATTTCAACTCTAATTAATGAGCTCTAATTAGCAAAGAAACAGGAAGTTAACTGATTTTTAAGGAATTAATTAGCAAAAAAGTGAAAATCTTAATTCTAAAACAAAGTCAGAGACTGGAAAAAATGGTGTCAAAAGAGACTTCAATAATGTACCTTGGAGCTTTGGTAACAGTGATCACTGATTAATGGTTGGTGATTAAGATAAGGGGTCCTTAAACAGTGGTGGATGATGAAGCTTTTCCATCAGTCATCAAAGAATGGAGTTTCTCTTAGAAGACCAGGTAACTCAAAAGTTTACAATACTTAAAAATGTGCACCACATACATTCATACAATAGCATATTCTTAGAAAAAGTCTACAAGTATACAGTTAAATAATTACCATGCCAAAAAAAGGACCAAAATGGTTGCATCAACATCAATACAAAAAAGGAAGTATTCCTCACAACAAAGGCCAGAAGAAAATAGGGACCACCAGCCCAGTCCAATCTCTAGTTCCCATAAGAAGACTAAGTAAAGAAGAGTTTCAGGACATTGTACGGCCACAGAAAAATGGGGTGTTTACAGTTATATATGCCAAGAACCGAAGCAGCGAGATGAAGTTTTTACGACCCGCCAAGTGAAGTCCAGCCAGTGGACACCTACATGGAATCTGTGTCAGATGACCCAAATTCAAAATTATACAAAGTACTTCACCGAGAAAAGACTGCTAAATTGTGGAACAGTGCATTTAAAGAACACTCACAGAAGTTTCCAGACTGTGATGGTCCACTGGACTGGAATCAGCATGGGGAGGAAAAACGAGGCCTGGCATGGATCCTTTCCATTCGATGTAAGAAGTGCAACTATACCAGTCACCGAGAAAAGCTTTACGAAGAGGTGAGAAGATCTGGCAGGGGACGAAGAGCTGCACAGCTGAATGTGGCCATGGCTGTCGGTCACCTGGGTACCAGTCTTACAACAGAGGGTATGCGTGGTATGCTTCTTGGTGCAAATATTGAACCAGCGTCAGCCGCCAATATGCAACAGACCTGCAACAAAGTGGGGAAAATTATAACCGATGTAAATAAAAACAGTATGAAGAAAATTCGGCAGAATATTCAAGAACTTAATGAAAAATGTGGACTTCCGGATACCCCCATCAGAGCGGAAGGAGATGCTCGGTACAATAATGCCACCTTCAGTGCCATTGGGAAAACCCCATTCCAGGCTGCCACCCAAGTGACATATACCGTAAGTGAAAATGTAACCCAGAGGAAGAATGTGGTAGCAGTTTTCTGTGGGAATAAACTATGTAAGAAAGGCGCTCACCTACGAAGCAAAGGAAAAGAAGTTACCTGCCCAGGACACAAAGACTGCACTGCAACCATTCCTCCGGAGACCACCATTGGAGACGAGAAGAGATGGGCCGCTAATTGTGTTGGTGAGTTACAAAGTGATGACCGGCCACTAGTCATATCCCATTTCACCAGTGATGGAGACAGTACGTGCCGCTGCATCTGGTGCATCTGAAAAACAAGGACATGTGATTGAAAACCTTAAGGACTTGCGGCACTTCTTTGACTCTCAAAGAAAACAGACTGCTAAGGCTTTATTCAGCAGTCACATGTTTCCGGGAAAAACCAAGGCCATAAGAGAATCCATGCAGAGAAGATTTGCCTTGGACCTGAAGCTTCGATGCAGGACAGAGTACGAGAATTGCTATAAACACTACTCCGGCGACTTACCTTTGATGAAGCGTGCTATGTCTACTGCTGTTGGTTCCCTCATAAACTGCTACAAGGGACAGTGCGGGAAGTCCTGTCAACTCTATTCCTTTTCCTGTAGTGCACTGAAAAGCAATAAGTGGAAATCTTCTGTGCTGCCTAGTGACTTTGAATTAAATATGACAGAAAAAGACAAATGTTTGTTAAAAGACTGTATAAATTTGACTTTAGGACAAAGTAATCTTGATAGAATCAAATATCATATCATACTTGTACACAAAAATCTGAATCTGTAAATAGGGCATATTTAAAATCAAATCCAAAATGTATTACAAGTAGTAGAAATTTTGAAAGTAGAATACATAAAGTTGTGCACTCACTGAATAGGGGTCATGGAAACTCAACACTGGAACTTTGTGAATCTGTAGGGGCACCTGTTGTAAAAGGAAGTAGAGTGGTCCATCATCTAAAACAACAACAAAATAGACAAAATTACTTTAAAATGAAACAAAAACTGTTAAAATATAAATCTCAAAGAAAATACGACGTATACTGATCTAAAAGATATCAGCTGTACGATAAAAAAATCTAAAGACACTTACAGTAAATCATTGTCAGATCCAAAATTAAAAAGGAAGTTGTAAGACTGTAAAGGGGGGGGGATTGATGATATGTACATGCATTTCAAATGTATAAAATTTGTACTTAAAATATATTTTGTGAACTATCTTACATGTAATAAGTGTTTTTTGTGGTTCATTATGCATTGATTATTTTCAACTGTGTAAATGGGGAAAATTTGGACATGTGAATAATATGCATTATTGTATGTGTAAAATGTGACATTTTCTTATACGAGAGAGTCTGTACATGTAAAAATGTTATACTTATTATTTAGCTCATTAAAATTTTTTGAATTAAAAATCTTGTTTTTCTTACCTGTGTGATGAACACAACAAAGGTTACAGAGGTAATTGGTAGAAATCCAGGTATACGGGTGTCAAAAATGTCCGTTGGTGACCAGACTGCATGCCGCATTGTTGATCTTTTCAAGGGGAGACTACTCCTGAAATCAGAGAAATTTTAGTGAAAATGAGAGTTACCTGTCCTTCTTTAGGTCTCACACAAGGAAATAATTTCACTATATATTACTATATAGCTTGAATTAAATTAATTAATTTATTATACCCTCAGCAGAAAATTCATGAAAGAGAAAATAAAGTTTAATGCTTAAACAAAAATTTGAGATCAGAAAAAATATGCCTTATGCGGCTTTTAAGAAAGAAAATCGACAGTAAACTTTACCTACCCCAAAATGCACGTGGGATTCACATGTTGACAAACAGCCTACAGTCACCATCCAGGAAGTTGCATCATGCGCACCTGAAAAAAGAGTTCCTTTTAATTCAGTGGGATAATTCTGCTAAAGAAATGATATTCCTAGTACATGACTCATGAGTCCAATTTTAATACGGTAGGCCTAAAACAAATTGCCAAAAATGAAAAAAAGAAAAAAAAATTGTCTCTAGATATATATGGAACTTCAATTGACTAAGTTCATTTTGATTGGCTATTTCCCTGCGTAAGACATTTATTAGTGATTTGAGAGCCCCGACTGCTGCATCTGCATGTACAGTTACTTGTATGGGATATATAAGATATAATTAGATGTATATACATGTACGTATATGTGTATTTATGTTTGCGTATGTTACCTTTCTTTCAGAACTTTCTATCTTGTTAAAGTGTAAAATCCTTTATGCCTCTTGGGCCCAAAATTGGAAAATAACACCTAACTATAAAGTCGGCTATTGCAAGCAATAGCATATGTCGCCCCGAACTGGACAAGACTTTCATTTTTTCATCACTAAAACAATACCTATTAGCTAACCTTGGAAAAACCATCAACTCGTATCAGTCCTTTCAGTACTTTGATTTAAAACTCAAACAATGAATTTTCACTTTTCCCCTGTTTCAGTGGCAACTATTGACAATTTGCAATTTTTAAATGCAATGAACACAATTACAGATTCTAATCATTACATCAACAAAGTTTCATGAAGAATGTCGACAGGACCAGAGAGAACACTCGCGGACAAAATTCGCCGCTTTTTGCAGGTTTCCATGGCAACGGTAGACATTTTTTAAATGCAATGAGCACAATTACAGATACTAATCATTACATCAACAAAGTTTCATGAAGAATGTCGACGGGACCAGAGAGAACACTCGCGTGGAAATTATTGACAATTTGCAATTTTTAAATCCAATGAGCACAATTACAGATACTAATCATTACATATATAAAATTTCGGCGGTAGCCATTTTGAAACGAACAAAAAGACATTGCGATTGTACGCATGTTTTTGTTCTCCAGGCTGTTTCTCGGGGATGGCTGGGACAATCTTCCTGAAACTTTCCTCAAAGGACGATCACTAGTTGTAGTCGTGTTGTGTGGTCATTCAATGCAAAATGGCTACCTATTGCGATTGTACGCATGTTTTTCTTCTCCGGGATGTTTCTCGTTTACCGTTGCCATGGAAACCTGCAAAAAGCGACGAATTTTGTCCGAGAGTTTTCTCTCTGATCCCTTTGGATATTCGTCATGAAACTTTATTGATTTAATGACTGGTATCTGTAATTGTGCGTGTTGCATTTAAAAATTGCAAATTGTCAATAGTTGCCATGGGAACAGGGAAAAAATGAAAATTCTTGAAGACTGATTTTTAAATCAAAGTACTGAAAGGACTGATACGAATTGATGGTTGTCCAAGCTTAGCTAATGGGTATTCTTTTAGTGATACAAAAAATGAAAGTCTTTTCCAGTTTGAGGCGACACACGCTATTGCTTGCAATAACAAACTTTTTTGTTTAGTCTCCGATCAGACACATATTTCGGGTTTCCCACAGCATAACACTCTTTCTTAGACTATAAAAACAAGCGGTGCTCATCTAATATCCGCAACTTCTACTACATCACTGAATAAAATTTGATGATACTTTTACAGTTACGTAATGCCCTTGTGCACAATCTATTTTACTCTTAGGAAAAAACATTAACTTTGCCATTATATTCATATGGGAGGCGGGGTTGTATCATTTTGTGAGGTCAAGAATTTAGTAGATTGTTTGAATAATAAATAATGAAGAAAATACCATTTGACAAAAATTTGACGTCACCCTTTGACCCATGCGCCACATCGCTCATCTGAGCTCATTGACTAGGAAGAAGAAAAAAAAATCAGTATTTCATATCAGGATGCTTCCATATCAATATTACTAATCATTGTTTTGCTGTTCTTTAACAGAAGAATTTTAAAGATTTATCTTTGTTTTCTCCATCACGGTAGCTCATTCTGTAGACCTCTCGCTCCATGATCAAGACTCGGCCGCGATTGACCTAAGACTTATTAGAAATAGGGAGCAACAGTTCCCTCACCAAGCGCTAGACACTATGAAGTCCTTCTGTTGAGACCTTTAATAACTAAGCCTCACTATATGGTGAATTCTCTACATGAGTGAAAATTCTAGAACAGGATGTAAAACAACATACAATCAATCTTATCCTTTCCTATGTAAAACTCTTATCTCTCTTTGTAATACTAACCCACCCTAAATTGAAACATAAGTGAATCTTCATTACCTGGGAATGTTTCTATAATATAATGACTAATTATGGCTTCGCTGTTCTTGAGCAAACTATTTATTTCTAAGATGATTCTTTATATTCATGTGTACTTCATAGTACTCTACTCTGTTGTTTCCCCATAATTTGAATAAACTTCATTATACAATACTAGTACATAAGGTTACACTTTATGAAAATGACTTATACATGTATTGGCTAAGTTGTTTTAGAGAAGGTTTTACGGATGTCAAGCATTGCATGTGCATCATTTCATCGTAGAAAAGATTTACCAAAAGAAAGATTTAAAAAAAATAATTATCTAAGCAGTAATTTATTAACAAAGATTGCATTGAAGTCTATGGGAACAAGCGATTTTAAAAAAATCAAATAATAAGAAAATCAATAAATACTGTGTATGTATCCAACGATATATCAAAATATTAGAAATAGAATGACAATTGAAAACTGTCTTTTTTTTTCATCAAATAAGTTATTCAAAAAATATATTGTTTTATTAATTAAAAACAAAGGGAGATAATACAAGGTCATATAATTATTAGGACACATCCCTTAAGTACAAGCTAATAAATAATAAATTGGAATTTCTAGTTAAACTGAGTATTAAACATCTACACATGATATCAGTAAATCTATAGTAAACAATGTCGTATGTATATTTCTATTCAAATCTTGTAAAAATTATAAAGTTTGCATAGATTGATACAAGTAAATAATTTTTATATAATTTCTATTGCCTTTCTTATGACAGCTGATGTAACTTGTACTGCTGATGAGTTCCAGTGTTCAGACAAGCAGTGTATCGACAAGTTGTGGCAGTGTGATGGCGATGCTGATTGTAACGACCAAAGCGATGAAACAAACTGTGCAACCAAAAATGTATCTATTTGTTCAGACGAATCGGAATGGGAGTGTCACACCGGTGAACAGTGCATCCACGAATCCTGGAAATGTGATGGGGACGAAGACTGTTTGGATGGATCTGATGAGGGTCCTGAATGTGGTAAGTTTGGATCTTAAAGCTGAAAACGAAAAAGGAATCTCTCCACCATGTTCGATTGTTCACTAGCTATATCTGATGACCCCTTAGAGCCCCGCCCTAACACCATAAAATTCACAACTTTGGAAGAGGCTCTCTTGTTCATCATAACTATGTGCTTGGTTAGTTTATTTAATACCCAGGAGCAGAGAAGAAGATTTTCAAAGAATTAATGCATTTTCACGATATGATCAATAGAGCCCCGCCCTAACCACAGAACCCATGACCTTGGGGTCATAAAATTCACAATTTTGGAAGAGGCACTCTTGCTCATCATAACTATGTGCTTGGTTAGTTTACTTAATATCCAGGAGCAGAGAAGAAGATTTTCAAAGAAATCATGCATTTTTATTACATAATCTATATAGCCCCACCCTAGCACTAGAACCCCTTACCCTGGGGCCATGAATTTCACAATTTCGGTAGAGGACTCAATGCTCATTACATTCATGCCAACAGTTTGCTTGCTTGATGTCCAAGAGTAAAGAAGAAGATTTTTAAAGATTGCAATAATTTTAGTGACTTTTGCCCCACCCCTCAGGCCCCAGGGGGCGTGGACCATAAATTTCACAATTTTTGTTCCCATTCACCCATAGATGCTGTATACCAAATTTGGTTGAAATTGGTTAAGTGGTTTCAGAGAAGAAGCTGAAATTGTTAAAATGTTAACACACGAGCACGACACACGACACACGACGACGGACGAAAACGGATAGCAATAGGTCACCTGAGTTACTCAGGTGACCTAAAATTTATATTGGCTGCTATTAAATCATAATATGGCAACTCCTGGAAGAGAAATATTGAAATGAATCTTTTTATTTCAGAAGCTACATCAGTCTTAAATATATCATCATCCTCTTTAACAACTGAGACCACAGATGATCCTGAGAATAAAACTTCAACACCTGTAGTTACATCCAAAGGTTCGGGTTAAATTTTATCAGCGCTTCTTAGAGATAACAGCCCTGAAAGAAAATACAACTTTTGTTGACGATAAAAATCAATATATACGAGGGTCATTCAAAAAGTTCGTAGACTTTTGTCCTAACTTTTTTATTTAACGTTATATTATATCCAAATTTGGTACAAATTTTTTAACAACAGATTCAAATAATTTGAGTAAAAAAATTGGAATGTACGAGGGTCATTCAAAAATTACGTAGACAATGCTTCTCATCGTCATATAATTATTACAAGATTATAGATCAACACATTTTCGTAAACATAAACATTTATTTTGTGGAAGTGTGAAGTTTCATTCCATTTGATTAAATAGAACTCATATTAGCCAAAATTTAAACCAACATGTTTTGATGCCACGGAGCACGGTTAACCAACATTGTAACGTCAAAGACAACGTTGAGAAAGTTTTTCAAATTTTCTTAATTTCAAACACGGTTTGTAGCGTTTTCTCCATTCAAAAAATCATATCCATAACACTTAACACCTAGTTTGCGAACAATTGTACAAATATAGCTTGAATAAGAATGTCATTGTTTTCAAATTCTTTAATTTACCATGTAACTCTATTAATTCTGCAACAGTGAAGCACACATCACGTTCAATGACGTTCCTAACTCTTTCGACAATTTTTTAAACTTTAACCTGTGTCTTTGCAGACAATTCATCGTCCGATTCAAACTCCCTACCACTCAAAAATTGTATTCTATATTTAATACAAATACACAGATTATTTTTCATACAGATCCTGGTTTATACGGATTTCTTGACCTTGTAGAAGAAGTTTCCCGAATGTAACGTACAATTTTATTGCTACTTGCTGCTCCGTGACGTCCCTCAACGTCATGGTTTTTTGTTTATTTTAATCAAGTCCATGTGTATTTAGAAACTAATATCTTTTAAATGGAGCGACATATTACTTAACCTGATTTCATTTTAATTAATACAGCAATACTTTATTTAAACATATAAATTTTATTTCGTTTCAGCTCCATTTATAAGAGGTATGGCTGTAAATACTATAAAGTGAAAATTAGTAAATTACTCAATTTTGACGGTGCTCCGTGACCCCATTTTTGCTGTTCTAAATCCTTGGTAATTTTAATAAATATGAAGATACATTCCAATTTTTTTACTCAAATTATTTGAATCTGTTGTTAAAATATTTGTACCAAATTTGGATATAATATGACGTTAAATAAAAAAGTTAGGACAAAAGTCTACGAACTTTTTGAATGACCCTCGTATCTTCATATTTATTAAAATTACCAAGGATTTATAACAGCAAAAAAGGGGTCACGGAGCACCGTCAAAATTGAGTAATTTACTGATTTTCACTTTATTGTATTTATAGCAATACCTCTAATAAATAGAGCTGAAACGAAATAAAATTTAAATGTTTGAATAAAGTTTTCCTGTATTGATTAAAATAAAATCAGGTTATGAAATATGTCGCTCCATTTTAAAGATATCAGTTTCTAAATACATATGGACTTGATTAAAAAAAAGCCAAAAACCATAACGTTAGAGGACGTCACGGAGCAGCAAGTATCAATAAAATTGCACTGTACATTCGGGAAACTTCTTCTACAAGCTAAAAAAAAATCCTTATAAACCAGAATCTGTATGAAAAATAATCTGTGTATTTGTATTAAATGGAAAATACAATTTTTGAGTGGTGGCGAGTTTGAATCTGACGATGGATTGTCTGCAAAGAAACTGGTTAAAGTTAAAAATATTGTCGAAAGAGTTAGGAACGTCACTGAACGTAATTTGTGCTTCACTGTTGCAGAATTAATAGAGTTACATGGTAAATTAAAGAATTTGAAAACAATGACATTCTTATTCAAGCTATATTTGTACAATTGTTCGCAAACTAGGTGTTAAGTGTTATGGATATGTTTTTTGAATGGAGAAGACGCTACAAACAGTGTTTGAAATTAAGAAAATTACCATAATTTTGACAAACTTTCTCAACGTTGTCTTTGACGCTACAATGTTGGTTAACCGTGCTCCATGGTAACAAAACATGTTGGTTTAAATTTTGTCTAACATGAGTTCTATTTAATCAGATGGAATGAAACTTCACACTTCAAGAAAATAAATGTTTATGTTTACGAAAATGTGTTAATCTATAATCTTGTAATAATTATATGACGATGAGAAGAATTGTCTACGTATTTTTTGAATGACCCTCGTACGAGGGTTGTCAGGTAAAATCGTGGACAAGTTGTCTCGCGTGAATAATAATCATCACTGCATTCTGAAATTTTCACTACTCCTTTGGATGTATTTTCTGAATGAACATAGCAAATTTCAAATAGATATATGCATAAAAAAAACAAATAATGTGATTTTATGTTATGTATTGTATTGCCTTACGGCGCAATGATGATAACGTCAAAATGTGTAAAACAGCGTCAAGTTACAGACAATACTCCACCATCATTCAACAAATAGACAATCTTATTTTGACGGTCAAAAGTGACGGCGTCTTTTGCTATTAAAACAGCAGTTTGTCCGTATGTTTTGTACTACCTGGGGACTCGATCAAGAAATACTTCACTAAGAAAACTCCCATTCCATTTCTATATTAAAGATCTGGTGATTTTTGGGGATTTTTTTTCTAAGGTATTCATTTAAAGTGTCTTACAGCGCTATTACATCATCTAAATCAAAGCGAACTTATCTCAGGTGCGCCGTAACGTCATTAAACGTCACCATTTTTCGTGTGTTGTGTTTACCATTTTCCCATTTTGAATGCTCAGGGAACTGCCAAAAATTGACCAAATGTCTTGAAATTTTTAATAAGTCGACAAAAAAATTTTGGAATCGAATAAGGATAATTTTTACCCTTTTGTGATCTATTTAAATCTTTTATTTCAAATCAATACTCCTGTATTCTGTGAAAAAACCTTCGTTTTTTGACCGTGCGCCGTAGGACCATACCCTGAGCACATTCAAGCATAATAAATTTTTTATTTCTGTCTGTATTTCATCCCAAAAATTATGAGGCACTGAAATATGGTAAATAAACATTCACTGAAAATTTCAGCTTAGTGCGTTTATTATTTTTTGAGAAAAACGCTTTGTCCACGATTTTACCGGACAACCCTCGTACATGGGAAATTTCGTATTCAAAGCAATAAGAACAATTTATTCTATTCCAATACAATGGTTAGTGTCGCTAAGTAAGAAGTTCATCCTTATGTCGCGGGTTCGAATCCCTTGTAGGATGTGGAGACCGGTCCTTTGAATGAAACCGTATTAAATGAGGTCCCGTATCGCAGTAGGTGTTGACATGAAAAAGATCTCTCGCTGTTCAATGGCCTTAAATGACGAGTACAGGTATAAATTTGCATCTATCCACCGGGAAGTGCTGTGGTCTCCATATTAGTGGAAAAATTCTCGAAAGGGACGCTAAACAATAATCAAACAAATAAAACAAACAGATATTAAATGCATTAGTGTTTTAACAAATACCATTACAGCACATATAATTTACCTCTGAGTCGAAAACTGATTGACGATTTCATACTTATTGTGAGGCCACTTTTTTACATAATGACTTGTCTTTGTTTTATTATTTGCATAATAATGACATGGAGCATGCGTTGGGTGACCGATCGATAAGGGATACTCACTCCCCTGGGCACTCGATTCCACTTCTGATGTTTTGGAAGTCCGTGGTGTTCTGCTCCTGATTTATTTGATAAAAATTGACTTTTATCTTGATTATTGTTCATTGTATTCATATTTAATGATAATAAAATAATAACCTGGTATTTAGAGCTTGATTTAAGTAGACAGTTTAACAAGCTACTGAATAATTATGCATGGACCATTTCCTATTGACAGCACAAAGAACAACTTCAAGTCCTTTACCAACTCCTCCATCTAAGACAGACTCCCCTATTAATTCAAACAGAAATTCTTCTAGTTCTCATGGTGAGATTTGTTGCCATGCTTTGAACAATGAGCACTTTTTTTTTAGGTTTTTTTAGGTCACCGTGTGTTAACATTTGAACAAGCTTCTTCTCTGCAACCGCTCAACCAATTTCAATTAAATTTGGCAAAAAGCATCTATGGGTAAAGAGGAACAAAAATTGTGAATTTCATGGCCCCTGCCCCCCTGAGGCCTGAGGGGTGGGGCCAAAACCACTAAAATTAATACAATCTTTAAAAATCTTCTTCTTTACTCCTGGACATCAAGCAGTCAAGCTGTTTGCATGATTGTAATGAGCATTGAGTCCTCTACCAAAATTGTGAATTTCATGGCCCCGGAGTCAGGGGTTCTAGTACTAGGGCTGGGCCATATGGATTATATAGTGAAAAAACATTATTTCTTTGAAAATCTTCTTCTTTGCTCCTGGGCATTAGATAAACAAACCAATTACATAGTTTTGTTGAATAAGACAGCCTCTTCCAAAATTGTGAATTTCATGGCCCTTGGGTCAGGGGTTCTTAGGCGCTAGGGTGGGGCTATATAGATTATATAGTGAAAATACATTATTTCTTTGAAAATCTTCTTTTCTCCTTCTGGGTATTTAATAAACAAACCAAATACATAGTAATGTTGAATAATGCTGCCTCTTTCAAATTTGTGAATTTCATGGTCTCTACCCCCTGGGGCCTGAGGGGTGGGGCCAAAACCAATAAATTTAATGCAATCTTTAAAAATCTTCTTCTTTACTCCTGAACATCAAGCAGTCAAATTGTTTGCATGATTGTAATAAGTATTGAGTCCTCTACCAAAATTGTGAAATTCATGGCCCCGGGGTTCATAGGTGCTAGGGCGGGGCTATATAGATTATATAGCGAAAAAGCATTATTTCTTTGAAAATCTTCTTCTTTGCTCCTGGGCATTAGATAAACAAACCAAGTACATAGTTTTGTTGAATAAGGCAGCCTCTTCCAAAATTGTGAATTTCATGGCCCTGGGGTCAGGGGTTCTAGTACTACTGCGGGGCTATATAGATTATATAGTGAAAATACATTATTTCTTTGAAAATCTTCTTCTCTGCTCCTGGGCATTAGATAAACAATAATGTGCCTCTTTCAAATTTGTGAATTTCATGGTCTCTGCCCCCCTGGGGCCTGAGGGGTGGGGCCAAAACCACTAAATTTAATGCAATCTTTAAAAATCTTTTTCTTTACTACTGGACATCAAGCAGTCAAACTGTTTGCATGATTGTAATCAGCATTGAGTCCTCTACCAAAATTGTGAAATTCATGACCCCGGGGTCAGGAGTTCTTAGGTGCTAGGGCAAGACTATATAGATTATATAGTGAAAAAGCATTATTTCTTTGAAAATCTTCTTCTTTGCTCCTGGGTATTTAATGGAAAACTTTGTATGCAAATTTAAAGAAAGCTTCAAAATTAATCGAATCGAAAATGTATATTTTATTGCTGTTATCTAATCAGAATATGGCGACACTTGGAAGAGAAATATTCATATGAATCTTTTGATTTCAGAAGCTACATCACCTTCTTTAACAATTGAGGCCATAGATAAACCGAAGGATCCAACTTCAAAACCTGTAGTTACATCTAAAGGTTCAGATTACAATTATAAACTAATAAGTACTTCGCTTCTTAAACATTATGGACCCGAAAGAAAATGAATTTTAGTTGACAATAAAAATATTTACATTTGTCTTTACTTTATGTGTATCAGTAACAGTTAAACAAGCTATTGAATATTTATGCACTTATTATTCATATTCACAGCACAAAGAACAACTTCATGTCCCTTATCAATTCAAGAAAACAAGACAGGCTCCCCCAATAATACAAACAGAAATTCTTCTAGTTCTCATGGTGAGATTTATTATAAACAAAAGGTTAAGAATTATACCTACAAATGAAAAGGACTTTAACTCCAAACAATTATAAAATGATGAATAATTTGTTTATATATTGTTTGTTTTTAAACTTTGCATTTTAAACAATTTTACTTTCTTCTTCTTCTTCGTCTTCTTCTTCTATATTGCATATAGTCAAGTCAGGTTAATATAGCGAATGTTACACAAACGCAAAGTTTATATGGCTATAAACTCAAAGCTTCTAAATAAATGATTAACAGTATAAAACATAAAGTCAAAATCGGTTTAATAAAGCTAAGATTTATCAGCGGTTTTTCCTCGAGCACAAGCCAGTCATAGCTCAAGCTATGATGTCATAGCCTCCCTGACGGAATTTTCAGCAGTCAGCATGGGTAAAATCAACAAGTAAGGTTTGATTATTTCATTTTATTGTTGTCATTTCTTCATATTTAAAATTATTGTATCTGCATGAATAATTTACATGTTAGCTATCATAACTTTTTATTTCCAGGTAAACATATTTTTACCCAATCCAGAATAAGCCTTGCATATAACGGTTTGATCCATGGCGATTATTACTATTGGTTTCTTTGGTTCTGTTTTTCAACTGAGTCAAATCCCCTGCAATTGCTTGAGTGGCACAGCATTGTTTTGTTTTATTTGGAAAAAAAATATTATAGCCCCATCTCATTTTTGCATTACTTAAGTTTGGTATATGATAAAATTTTTATGTTGTTTAATTTTCCAGCTTTGTTCGTAATTTTAAACTTTTTTATTTTATTACATTATAATATGAAAAAAATTAAAAGAAACTACAGAAGAAAAACGTACGTACAGCTTTATATCATATGTAGCTTTTGTGGGTTTCAATGTTTTTTTTCTTTTTCATACTAATTTTTCACATTTTGCATTTATAATTATTAAATAATCCAAAAAAAGGAAACATAATACGTCATCGTATTTTTTAATGTTTAAAAAATGCAAAAATATACTAAATTATGCACCAGTTTTTATTTGTTTTATATACATGTGTATTTCGCAATTAACATACGATATCACCAGACTGTAGGCGAAGCAGGAAAAGAGTTATAAATAAACCTTCTGTAATGACCACGATTCTATCATTTTAAACTTAAGAGTCAAAAAATAGTTTTCAGTGAAGAAGCGAATGCCACTTGATACTTCTTTCGAATATAAGGATCATTGTTAGAAGGGATCAACTTCATGAAAATCTCCATTAAATGGTGACATAAGTGCACTACTCACCATTCAGAACACTGTATATAATATTGTTGATAACTTTTATTATTACTCACTAGTTTTCTAGGTTTGCATTTTTTTACGATGAGGAATGTTTTAGAATTGTTGATTCTAATTATCTTCATCACTATAAGCCAGTTACCTGAAGGTAAGATAGTTTACATCATTTACCAATTAAATTTTTCTAATACTAAATGCAAGAAAAAAATCTAATGTTAATGCCTTTTAACAACTTAAAAAGTTATTATAATCATATATTTTAGCTGAGCCTGAGACGCCACTTTCATGTAAAGAGAATGAGTTTAAATGTATGAGGAGCTGCATTCCTGTAAACTGGAGATGTGATGGAGAATCTGATTGTCCAGGCTCAGGAGATCAATCAGACGAGGAAAACTGCCGTAAGTTCATTTATTCAATATACAAGACATATATATATTCAAGATAGTCTCGTCGAAAATAGACGTGAACGTTTGTCATACATCGGGTGCTTTAAGATGATCTTATTTAGCTTACCTGGGCCAAAGAACTTAAAACTTAGTTGGCTTTAACGAGACTGTTGATATCTTAGTGTTAACAGCATGTTTGTCAATAGTTTGCCTTGTTTTCAAAATTGTTCATAGGTAGAGCAAGTTCTTGCGTATCGAATCAACTGGGAGACATAAACTCAAATCCAGTTGGAAAGGATATATTGTTACATATATAAGGAAAGTTGAAATAATCGCGTTTATTATTAAGTTTTGTTGTTATGCAACCATTAGTGTCTCTCGGTAGTAAAATGTCCGAATATGCAACAGATGTTTCAGACTCTGTAGCATCTTCTTATAAAGTTCTCCGGAATATATCGAGTCGAAATACAATGTCTGAAAAAAGTAACTGATGATACGACGTCGCTATATTCGAGTACAAACAAGGTCACAACAAGTTTTTTCTTCTTTTCAGGTACATGTTTTGGAATAATTTTTGCTTCATATGAATACAAAATACAGGTTTGCTAGCATTTGGTACAAATGGAAATAGATACTTTCAATCAAATTTCTGGTATCTTATATAACAACTCTGGATTACTTGTATGTTCATTCAGAATGTCATTAACAGAATAATTCTACAAATGACCAATGATTGGGTAAATGAATAATTATACGAGTTAATTTTTCGTTTAAAAAAAGCACCTGTCTATGGTGTCAAAAAGCGTCGACTAGAATTAATCGTGGGGAATGGTTGAATAAAGTGATTTTTTAAATTTTGATCAGAGTTCCTCTAAGTATTAAACAGGTTGGGTGGAAACGGAAATTCCGCTATAATAGTGGTATCTCACTATTATAGTGAAATTACGCTATATTTCCTGCCGTAGATACCCTCAATTTCATCCGATACCATGCAAGGTGTTTGAACCGCAAGTCATGGTGGGTATTAAAATGATCAAAAACTGTCATGTTTGCATGTTTTGAATTTTAATAAATTTTCTACCGTTGCGTTTGAAAATGCGAGCACTCTTTTTTTAACGGAAGTTGCATTTTTAACATAGCAACCGATGATTACAGGTTATTTAAGCCTGTTTGAATCTCATTTATTCTTCATTAAAGTGCACAAATTGATGCTTGTTACAAATGTCAACTCGGACTGGAAAGGGTTTATGGAATTAAACAAGAAAAAGGCTATTTCTGTTTGCATGGTTACGGGTATGGAGGCCCGTTATGGTAAACGTAAAGACCCATTATTATCGGTCGCCGATGCTGCGGGCGGTCTTCTTGTGGTTGTGTTAGATAGTGCACATGGGAAATGAAGTTATTTTTGTAATAGTTCAGTAAAATAATTCTTCACTGATAACATGTAGAAAATCATAAGTAAAATTTGTTTTAAACTAAATATTAATTGTTGTTATAATGTTTCAATTTCATTGTCATTTCTCATGAAGATATTTGATAATTTTGACTATGTAAAAAGAGATTACAAAAGGTACTATATAGATATAAAAGAAAATTATGATTATCCGGATAGTAATGACGCGTGGTACATAGTGCATGGTTAAAATAATGAAAAACTCTTTAATTAGTAAAAATTGTTTTGAATATGTTACAGCTGCGAATGATACAAAGATACTTTTGTTTCTACATTTTGCAAAGCGCCTTGCAGCATAGCCTATTCTGCAGAAACCAAGGGCATTATCACGTGATAAAGATCCAGTGTATATGCACATTGTTCAGTCTTTTTAATTTTTGACTGTCTTCAAAGCAATATAAATATATAATTGAAAAAAAATAAGTAAATTGAGATTTTAATGCATTTGCTCATCAGATGGACTCATCGATGTAATAAAGTCAATGATGAATAATATTAAGAATTTATTGAAGATGAAAATATACACTTCTAAAGATTCTAGTTCAGCTTTGAATATCTTGCGCTTCCACTGCATGGATATGCTTTCAAAATTGTGAAAGTACTTTTTTTAACAAATGCTACATTGTTTGCGACCGCTTTGATGCTTTGCATTAATTTTTAATTGTTGAAAATTTGAATTAAGTCAGTGATATTTTAGACACTTTTTGCTGAATATTGAGCGGTGGCTATTGGTTATTTGATGTTTCCTTGTGGTTTAAACAACAACACTTTGGTTTAAATCTAGAAGTCTGTAAAATTGATACTTTTAGTGCGATTTTTTGCGATATACTACATTTCATATGAATATAATTAGATTTATATTTATTTCGATTAATAAGAAAAAATCTAAAGCTATTTCTCTCAGATTTTAAAGTTAAATCATTCTTGCATAAGTGCATAAACATAAAGCGCCAATAAATAAGTTACGTTTGTGCGGAGTTGAAATGATGGTCAATTAAGGTCAAGATCTAGTAAATGACTTTAGAATAAGTTTTCAGTGCTAAATCCATTATGACGTCATAATCACTTTCAACTTTCTTTTTCCCGTACTTTACCGCTCTAATAGAATTATGTAGAAAATAAAGTATTTCCATGGGATTCAATTTGAAATCACACGAAAAGTAGTCCCGATACCTATCTTAAATTTGACATTATTTTAAAATAGAGACTAAGAAGATACAAATTACCGTTTTCTGAAAAACTGTAGGCAATCTTGATACATTTTCTTTGCCTGATATGGAAAAAAACTCCCATTTTATATACTGGTTTTCCTAATTTTTCATTGAAAATGACAGTTTTAAATATGGTTTTTCATCTTGTTTTTCTACAAATTATGCCCCGAAACATCTAATTTGACCAAACTAATATTATAGAGCATCATTAAAGGAATTCTTTTCTTAAATTTGAAAAATCTGTAGGCACCTTCCATTTACTAGATCTTGACCTTAATAATTATTTGAACATGTGTTAAAATAATGTTACAGGCACTCTTGTAAAAAATTTCCAACACCAAAGTAAATTGAGTCTTTTTTCTGAAATAAAAAATTAACCAGCCGAAATTAAGAATTAGATGTGTTTTCTACGATCGTTTTTATATGTAAACTTTGGATCGTTTATTATAAAATGATTTTGTTAAGAGGATATAAGCGAGTTTATCAATATACTCTTTTTTATGTTTGCCATATTGGGTGTTTACGTTTACTATAACGGGCCTCCATACCCGTAACCATGCAGACAGAAGTAGCCTTTTTCTTGTTTAATTCCATAAACCCTTTCCAGTCCGAGTTGACAATTGTAACAAGCATCAATTTGTGCACTTTTATGAGGAATAAATGAGATTCAAACAGGCTTAAATACCCTGTAATCATCGGTTGCTATGTTAAAAATGCAACTTCCGTTAAAAAAAGAGTGCTCGCATTATTAAACGCAACGGTAGAAAATTTATTAAATTCAAAACATGCAAACATGACAGTTTTTGATCATTTTAATACCCACCATGACTTGCGGTTCAAACACCTTGCATGGTATCGGATGAAATTGAGGGTATCTACGGCAGGAAATATAGCGTAATTTCACTATAATAGTGAGATACCACTATCATAGCGGAATTTACGTTTCCCCCCAACCTGTTAAAAGGTCGAGGCCACTAGATTTTCTGACGTCAGCATAAATTTGCATGTAAATTATATAGCTATCTGTTTACTTTACCTACTGATGAATGAGTCGCAATGCATTGTGGGCTACTACAAGTACTCAGCTGTGTTGAAAATAAAGGGCAACTTGAATTGTCCCTTGGAAACTTATTGTCAAACCTTTTTTGGAGATTTATGAAAGAGATATTCAGAATGATGTATAATCTTTCATCTCTCTGCTTTATGAAGCCTATATCAACATTGTTCAAAGAGACATAGGTGCTATTGTGTCGATAAAGCTTCGAGGGTTTTTTCACGATCTTGTTACAATACAAGGTGCGCAATTATAATTTTAACCCTTGATTTTATCAAAAGGTTTTTTATCTACACGCAAACGTCAAAGCATTTGTACGGTATTTGATGCAACTATTAATCATCTAAAACAATTCAAATATTAAATGTGAGCATGGAGCAATGTCTTTGGAATATAATCTTTCAATTTCAGACGGATAAAGTGATAAAGAAGCTCTATGGTTTCTACAGTGACGATGTAAATATTGTGCAGTAAACCGACGAAAACCACGTGTCGCCATTGAATCGCAAACACGTAATAGACCGTCATGCTTTGTGACTCATTCACTTGAATGGAGAACGGGTGAGACGAAGACATCGTCACGTGTTGAAAATTGCCTTTCATATAAGGTAATGGTCTCGACCTGTTTAAAGAGGAGTAAAGAAAGAGGTTAGTATATATTATTCGTGCAATCTATCTAATTTTTGAATTTCTCAACAGTTGAAGGCATGGTATAAATGCTTTTCTTATTGCCCCATTATCGCGTAATGCGAGATTTTAACATCCAGCTGATACTTTTAATCTTTTCTGACATTTGAAGTGCAAAGATCTTCTTTTTTATGTTTGACCCCTGGTCTGGGATACTAGTATTTGTCATCAAAATTCACCATATAGTTATTTATGAAATTATAATACACTATTATGTGTTGAAAAATCGGGTTTTTCCAAACTTTGTTCCTTTTAGATACATGCAAGTTATATAAAATCCTCCTTATTAACTTTCACGTTCCTAGTAAAGTTGTCATGAGCGGAACTATAGTTACAAATACGAATGAATTTTCTTACCTCTTAAATTCTTTAGATTCGTACTTTCTACAAAATTATTATCATTTTGTCTATTAAAACATATACTTAATTTGACATTTTAGCAGGTAAGAAGGCATGTTCAGATCAGGAGTTCACATGTACCTCTGGTCAGTATATTCCGACAAGGTGGACTTGTGACAAAGAACCCGACTGTCCTGATGGTTCTGACGAAACAGATGTCTGTAGTATGTATTTAAGTTTTATTCCGTTCTTACTAAAAGATTTCGAA